TTTCCTTGTGTGGGTATCGTAGTTTTGAGAATGCTTGGTGAAGATCTTGTAGGTGTTGGTCTCTGTCTTATGCTCCCAATACTTCTGTTAGTCTCAAAGGTGCCACAGGACCCTCTGTTGCTTTTTACAGATTCAGACTAACACAGCTACCCCTCTGATACTAGAAACCATTCAGTCCTACTTTCTCAAGCTCCCAGGTGGAGTAAACCATTTTCTATGGTGCTGCTACATGATTGCATTCTTCACAGCGGTGTTCCAGTGGGAGCAAACATTCCTAACGTGGTTTAAAGGCAAAACCTGATCTGTCGGGCAAAGCCCAAGTTAATGCACTTTGTCAGGGAGATCAATAAGTAGCTGAGGGAAACAGGGTGAGGAACGGAATCCTCTCCCCATCCTCATCCTAGAGCTACAGCCACTGCTATAGGCAAAGCAATGTAGTACTGGCTACAGCAAGCTGCATGCTCTTCTTTCCTCAAGGCCTGTGGAGTTGATGGGTGTACTTCACAGACCATTGGCTGTCTCTCAGCCATTTCACCTGGCCTGCCCGCAGCCTCCACCTTCTGTGCTCCCACAAAGAAACCTGCTATGCAGCTCAGCTCCACTGCAGCTTAAGGGACTGCTGCATACTGCTGGGTGGCTTTCCCAACACCTTGCAAAGTGCCTTCCACAGCCTGGGAAAATTTCATGCACTGGTCACAGTAGTGCTAATACTTACAGGAAGTGTTTTATATGAGACTTTCAAGGCACTTGACAAATCTTAATTAAGCCTTGCAACACGTCTATCAGACAGATAATTATTATTCTAACCAGTTTGTAGATTGAAAAACTGAGGCACAGCATGATTAAGTGATTTGCCCAAGGCAGACACAGCAAGCCAGTGACAAAGCCTGGAATAGAAGGGATGAGAGCTGACTCTATATTCCAAGTCCTAGACAAAATTCCTTCCCAAAAAGAAACTAGGTTCCAAAAAAAGTGAGTCCTCAAATGTTTTAACTGTGGGCATTATCCATATACATCTGGCTCCACTAGCAATGGAAAAAGATACCCCATCCCTGAATATCTTTCACTGCAGAAGTAATCTGACTTTACCTGACTACCTGCAGCCAAATATCAAACTCTGTATTTGTTCTGCTTTTAGAGATCACTAATATGACACACAATCCTCTCCCCCTCCGTTCTTGTGAGGACTCATCACTTTTCATAACCCTGGCTCTTCCACTGACTCACTCTGTGGCTCTGGGCAAGTCACTTAACCTCTTTAATCTGTTTCCCTATCTATATAACAAGGCTAATACTTATTCACCACAGATTGGTGGGGGGAGAATACAGTGCTTTGAAGATGTAAAGCAATATACAATTATTACAGTAAGTAACTGTATTATTAGTAACACTAGCAACTCTCGTTGGATTTAAGACAGTGATCAACAGGTGAAAGTCTTTATATCTCATTACTCATTCCCTTGAGACATCAACTCCCACCTATTAAGATAATTAGACTTTTTTTCCCAACAGAGATTTATTATCCATCAAGGAAAAGCTGCAGCAAGTCACTGACAAAGTTACTCTGAGGGGAGGGCGGGAATAAAATATAAAACAGCAACTGCTACATTCAGATGACTAATATAATTCTTCTGATTTATTTATTTTTCTTTTTAACAGCTGCCCTAAAATTGGCTGTAGCCATTTAGATGTTAAGAGATCAGATCTTGTGCCAGATGAAGCACTTAAAAGAGCGATTGACAGTCAGAATAAACAAGCCCGATCAATGCCGTAGAAGTCAGCTGGACACACTGTTACCACAAAGAAAATTTGTTATTGGAGGTCTTGTGAGATAAGCTGCTGATTGTAAGCAGGTTGTGTAACTGATTGTTATTTGAAGTGTTTCATTTGAAGGCAAAGTTGAAGGTGTCAGCTATAACTGAAAGCGTATCTTAAACTGCCAAGTGTGAAGCATTCCAGTTTAACTTGTTTGTTTTTCTTCCTAAACCTCTAAAATGTTGCGTTTTATCAATAAAATGTATGTGAAAAATGTAACCTCCTTTGTCAGTAGTTGTGCTTATTTTCAAAGCATTCTAAAGATATCAATTTAGGTCCAAGCCTGCAAAATGCTTGCTACTGGGTGCACTGTTTCCTACTGTGAGCCATCCCAGTGAGATGTCTCTGTTGTTGCTGGGGCTACTCATGGTAGGAGGCACCGTGGCCAAGATTTTCAAAGGGACGTGATCTGGGGGTGCCTCTTATTTTTGGATGCCCAGCACAAGACCTCTTAAGGGAGCCTGATTTTCAGAAAGTGCTGAGCATCTGAATCTCATGTTTGGGAATGCAAAATCATTAGTCACTTTTATTAACCGCAGGTCCTGGCCCTTAATCATACTGTACTTCTTATATTCAAAATCTTTTATTTCAGACTTTATGTATTTGGAATTCCCAAGGGGGTTCACATTGATATTTTATGTGAGAAGAATTGGCTTATTTGTAAACCTCTTCAGTTCATTAACCTTATGTATAATAACAATAAAAATATTATAGGATACCTACATACCTTGAGTTGCAAAGACTATATCATGTAATAATAACAGGTTTCATACATGCATGCATTGTTTCTGTTGCTATAAGCGTTACTTCATTAGACCTTTATTAACCCAAATTATACTTGGAGTATAGGCCACATTAAACTAAACATGCAGTTTTGTAATTGTTAAACTATAGTTTTAGTTTTTAAAACATGGGGAGGAGGATGTCCTGAATTGCCGAACGTTTTTCCTTTCACCTTCGAGTCTGCTTAGATTTACTCCAGCACTTTGAAATAAAACCCCCAAACCTTTGAGAAACACTGTTGGAAAAAATCTCTAGCAACTTTTGGTTCAGTTGCACTAATAATGCACTTCCTGGGCCAAATTTTAACCGTGAGCTTAATCAGGCCTCTGCGGGTAAGTCTACCCAGCAATTAAATACCCGTGGCTAGCCTGTGTCAGCTGACTCGGGCTGTGGGGCTGTAAAATTGGTGTGTAGATGTTTGGGCTTAAGTTGGAGCCTGAGCTCTGGGACGCTGCATGTGGGGGGGAGGGTCCCAGAGCCCACGCTTCAGCCCAAGCCTGAACGTCTACACAGCAATTTTTAGCCCCACAGTCTGAGCTCCGAAAGCCTCTGTCAGCTGATCTGGGTCAGCCGCATCAGTATTGTGGGTCTTTTATTCCAGTGTAGGTGTACTCTGTCAGTATGTCCACACTGCAAAACACATCCGGAGGCAGCAAATCTCAAAGCCCAGGTCAACTGACTTGGGCTCACGTTACAGGGCTACAAGTAGCAATGCAGATGATCCCACTCGGGCTGGAGCCCAGGCTTTGAAACCCAGGGAGAGGGGAGGGTCTCAAAGGCTGGAAGGTTTACACTACTAGTTTTAGCCCCGTAGTGCAAGCCCTGTGAGCCCAAGTAGGTTGACCTGGGATCTGAGACTCACTGCTGTGGGTTTTTGCAGTGTTTTCAGCTGCAAAATTGTGGGACCAGTAATTCTGATCACTAAGATGTCAGGGTGCTTGAATGTGTCAGCAAATAAGGGATTTGGACATATAAGAGAGATAAATACAGGTGCAAAATTGTATGCAGCGTGATTTGTACCTGCAAAATGGAAGACAGTTACTAGACTGGACTAGCCCTATTGTGCTCTGCAGTCTGATCCAGTTTGCTATAGTGTGGTGTTCATATTAATATATTCTCAGATAGCTACATGTGGATATTCCTGAAGTTCATTATCCTTGCGTTCCTATGAGTGATGCTAGACTAGAGATTGCTCTCTTGGATATGTTTGTTTACCAGATTTTAAGAGTTAGGGCTTGATCCTGAGATCAAGTTGGAGGGTTTTAATTGGAGGTACAGGTGCTCAGCATATCTCTGAATCGGGCACTTTGCATATATGTACCCAGTCTCTAGTATTTAAAGTGCCTGGATAAGGCAGTGAAGATATGAGAAATACCAGGCAAACCTGAAGTGCAATATTATAAGGGAAAGGAAAGCAAGTAGGTCAGCACCCATATCACTTATGCAATAAGTGGAAAGTATTCTTTGAATGTTCACATTCCTGTCTCACAATAAATGATTTTTCCTTCCTTTCTTCCCTAGCCTGGGTTAGGCAATGTCTATGAAGTCATGAAACTTGAATAGCAAGTTCAGCCTATAAACTCTGAGATCCTTTTACTCTTTGAAGGAAAGAAATTTAACAGTTTGGCAGACGATACCTCCCTTACTTTAATAGCAATTACATATGATGTCTGAAGCAGTATTTGTATTTAAATTGAGGTTGGTTTCTTTTATAATCTGAGAGATCTTTTTTGAGAATGCCCAGGACTTGCCCTATAAAGCCATGACTTAAATAATTATGGAATCCTTTCAGATACATTAGAATATTTTTGATAATACTCAGAAATCACTGATATATTGCATATGATTTTCAATTGCCTACAGCAGATTAACTGCATTGATTGCAGTCCATGAACAAACTCTATTCTCTGATCTGTTTGGGAGGAACAGCTCAGTGGTTTGAGCGTTGGCCTGCTAAACCCAGGGTTGTGAGTTCAATCCTTAAGGGAGCCATTTGGGGATTTAGTTGGGGATTGGCTCTGCTTTGAGCAGGGGGTTGGACTAGATGACCTTCTGAGGTCCCTTCCAACCCTGATAATATCTATGATAATCTTGATTCATTTCATTACATGCATGGAACAGCTATTAGCCTCAGTGTTCCGCTGAGCAGGGCCAAGAGTAGACCTTTGCCCTTTTTGCGATAGAACGGGGATGGCTCTTTGTTGATAAGTTTTACTAGAAATGATTTACCAATTGATACTGAAATATTGAGGGTCAGATCCTCAGCTGCCATTGCTGTGCACTTGACACACTGGGTGGGGTGTGTGGAGTGCCTTTTGCACTGTCCCGATCTGGGGGTTTTATGCAGTGGGCTGGTGCCCAACACAGGTGTTCTAACATACACCAGCTGCCAACAGCTCCAAGGGCCTGTTACAACTATGTGAGGAAGGGAAAGCCCCAGTCATGCCCCCTCAGGCTGAGAGCCAAGGAAGCATAGGAGTCCCTACAGCAGTTCCTGTACTGTCTCAGAATCCCCCTACACAGGGAATATCCTCTGGGAAGCCAGGCCCACAAGGTTTAGAGTTGCTCGGCACTGGTGGAGCAATGGAAAGTGGCTGGAGCATGGGGTGGAATTGAGGCCTAGGAGTTCACAAGGAACCCAATGTTGTTTATTCTTGGTAGTGGGTGTTTATTGTTCATTTGCAAAAAGCTTTCTTGAGCATTGGTTTTGTCTATGCAGTGCTGAACAGGGGAGAAGAGACAACCTCCCTATTCAGAGTGGTCCATGTTATGCAGAAACCCAGCTCTGGAAGAAGAAAACTTCAAGGAAATAAAGCACAGAAATGAAGTATTGGCAATGAATAAACTGATCACTGTGATTCATGGAAGTGGACCCTTAAACACAGTTTGTTTCAACTCATCATGTGTTTTTGCTATAAACTATCATATGGAAGCATGCATACATTAAAGAATCAAAGAGTATATTTTATCTCACTGTTTGACGTCAAGTAATTTTGCAACAAGATTATAGGAAGAAGAATCAGGATTTAGCATGTTTCTGTAAAGAGATGCCCTAAAAAAAGTAAGAAAAGTCACGCATACCTAAATCTGGTTCAAGAAGGAAGCAGGAGGTATACAAATCAATGGCCTGTTCCTAAGAGATACTGAGACCACCTGTCACTCCCTCTAAAATTAAGGATCCTTTTGGGGTCAGGCCATAAGTGATTAAAGATGTAGCTGGTTGAAAGAACAGGCAAAAGAATCCATGCAGCCCTACCCTAGAGCTTTCAACAGTGCCCTAGAGTGGGTGCCATTTGAAAAGTTCTCTCACTTGGAAAGGTTCTTCTGAATTAATAGAATTCCCTATTTCAAAGTTAGGGGATATCTGACATTTCCAGATTGGTGTAATCAATGAAGTGTGCCCACAGTGTGATTAGGAAAGTAATTATGCCAGGATTTCTTGGAAGAACAAAACAGCACCATAAATTTATGCTGATAAGAACATGCATCTGACTCAAAGATATGTTCATCATTACCACTCCTGAGCTGTGAGCTCAACCAGCCTGGAAGAATGCTTGCTACTTGCTGTCTGGTCACCCTATTGCTGAGGAGATGTCAAACAGAGGTTCTGACTACCTGTAGTCACTAATATTCCATGTCACTTTGTTCAAGAGTAGAGGGTTTAAAACTTGGTATCATGGCCTATGCTCTTAACTTGAGAATTTAGTGACTCCCTGTCTAAATTCCACTCAAGCTTTAACTAGATGTTCATCACCTCTTTGATTAAACATCTGTGCATACTGATCTCGGATTGTATGTTGTGCTGTACTATGTTCTATACTGGGTAGCTGCATTTCAATAATAGGTAAAATGCAGTAATTTAGAGGGAAGTACCTTAGAGCTGAGGTCCTTCTGAATGAAAAGTGCTATGTAATTGTAAGTAACTTCCTACTTTCTTCTCCTTACAGTCAGTAGCTTTAAATAGAAGGCACCCCATTGCAAATACAGATTTAGTCTGCAAAGGAATCAAATACCATGTCTGTTGATATACATTCTGTGATTGCAAGTAAGATGGCAAATGCTTGTATGGATAACAAGTTATTTTTCCGGCAATGAAATACTAATTGTAGTGGGAGGAAAGCTTTTTAATGGTATAATTAATGGAGTAAATATTGCCAAATTAATTCTCATAGGAAAATCACATGCCTAGATGGGAAATTCTGCTACCTGACTCTGAGTCGCTAATCAATAAATATCAGGTGAAAAGTAATTGATCATTAAGCAGCTAAAATACAATGCATGTGCTTAACTTTATACAGTCTGAGTAGCCTCAATGATTTCAATGGGAGTACTCCTGGGATGAAATCTTGGCTGCACTGAATTTTGCCACTGACTTGAGTGGGGCCAGGATTTCAGCCATAGTGTACAAACTTAAGCTTCTGCCTAAGTCTTCCCAG